CATCATTAATATAATAGTAATAATAGTAATTTTATGTGGAAGTTTATCATTATGGAATTTGATAGTAATTTTGATATTGGAAAAATTCAAGTTGGTGAATCATCAGAACACACCATTATTTTTTACCATCATTTTTACAATAGTATTTGTGGATTTTAATTTGAGAATAGTGGCTAATATCTTCCAATGTACTATCAGAAATTCAAATGTGGCTCGATATTTGGACAAATACTTAGTGAAACAACAAGATAATGAATAAACAGGTAGAAATGGATTGTTGTCCATCTATCATGTTGTTTTTATTGTTTAAATAATATATTGAAGGAAGAAGAAGCCTTAGGAGGCAAATAAACTCCTTTTTTTTGGTGTTGAATTTCTTTCTAACTACTGGTGATATTGGAATAGAAACCACACCAACATGCATACCAAACTCAATACTTGTAAACACTCTTTCTTCTTGCAATTTACGCAAGATACTTTTTATGCTATGGTTCCACTTCTCAGCAATACCATTAGCCTGGGGTCTTCCTGACGGGACATATTTCCATGAACATCCAGTAGCTTTAACAAAATCATCAATAATTTTGCTTTTGAACTCACCACCATTATCCGTGAGCAAACTTCTCTAAAACCGATTCAGCACGATTCTTGATTGTGAAACGTTGGATATCCATTTTAAGGAATCATCAATTATTTAAGGAGCACTGCTTGTTGGTGGTGGGATATTTGTGAATAAATGAATTGAACTAACTAAGAGGGAGGTAAACCACATGGCTGAATCAATATTGGTTCGATATTTGGAGCTCACTTCAATGTAGTAGGATCCCTCAAATAAAAGTTGCTGTATGAGTACACGTTCGACTTCTTGTCGTGTGACAGAGTTGGAATCTCTCAAATCTGATTTTAATCCAATAACGACAACTTCTGCATACTTTTTTCTGTTATCTCTGTAAGCTAATAATCCCTGAATGATAGAATCAAATGATGACCTATTTGTAATATCAAAAGTAATGAATATAGCACTCAGAGGATCAAATAATTGAGGACAATAGTAAAATATCTTATCATTCCATTCCCAAATTTGACTCTTCACACGAAACATTTCACCAAAATTCAAAAACTTTGTTTTGAAAGAATGTTCCTCATATGGAGGATTATCACTAAAGGGCACTTCAGAGAATGAATTCAAGAAATTAGTTTTTCCAGTTTTTTGTTTTCCCAAAATCAAAGCCTTATGTGTAAAGAGATTCTTCTCATACTTTGGGTTCTTCTTCTTACTTATTCTTATTGATTGAACTGTTGGATCATTACATTCAAGGCCCAATATCTCACTTCTTTGATACTTGGCTTGAGAAATCAACGTGAAAGGAATATTAAATTTTGAAAAGTACAATTTCAATAACTGAGAATATTCCAAATAATCTCTACTATCCAATTTGAAAATTCCCTTCTCACTAGCATCATGTTTCCGCATCACTTGTTGAGCCAAATTAAATACAAAATTTCTCATCATGTAACGAAGACAATTTCTTCCCAGCCTCTTTCCGAACAAATCATCAAAAGAATTAACCTGTTCATTCGCATCATCATGAATACAATCATAAAGCCAACACTCCTTCATGTGATGAGAAATTAACGGCCAAGCAAAAGTGTTCCTCCACTCCGAACAAACAAATCCAATGGAAAGTACAATTTCAATCATATCTAGGAATGAAAAACATTCCTTGATTATTTCCAATGGTAATTCACGATAGAGAGGAGAGAGAAAATTTGCTTTCGTGGATTCGGAACCTGTGCCATCATCCTCCATTAGTTATTTTTTTTAATTTAATAAAATCAAAATTTGTTTTTTAATATTGTTAAATTTATTTTAAATTAAATTCCAAATATTTATTTAGTATTTATTTAGTATTTATATTGTTTTAATGGTTGAGATTGGATTGTTTCAAAAGATCATTCTTTGATTTGAGAATAGAGTCAAAGGATGAATATTCTGAGGTGAGAACTAATCTTGAATAGGTATCTTGTAAATTCATAACTACTTCATTCTTTAGAGTGTCGATACATTCATTGATTCTTGTATTGAGTGGTGATTTGCTTTTTTCATTGGAAAGTTCAACATCTTTCGAATCGAATTCTTTGACTATTGAAACCAAGTTGTTTCTTAAATGTGATGGAATGTTCACTTCATTCACACTTCCAACTTTGATATAGTTATCAAATAATTTGGAAAAGAATGAATTTAGCTCTTTGATTCTTCCATTTTGTAAAACATTTTCATTTTGTTTCAGAAAAGAGAAGAGGTGAATATTTTCTAATGAAAATTCCTTCTTACAAAACCATTCCATCAATGAATAGCCCTCCTTATTGTCCATAAATGAAACCAATTCAGAAAATTCTTCATTGGAATCTTTTGATTTTCTTATTTTGGAAATAAGCAACACTAATAAGGAATAACCTCCAAACACAAAACAATAACTTGCTAAATATAAAATTTCAAACGCCATTGAAATAGAATCATTAGCAATAACTCTCTTTGGTGATGAAATTCCTGATAATCCAATAATTTGATTACAAGCAAGGAAAATAAAACAAAAAACAAATAAAATCATTTCAACTCTAAAGTAAAGTGGTGAATCAACTCTTGAATACCAATTTGTGATGTGATTTGCTGGTAATTTGATAAAATTTGTCTTTTTCTTCTTATCCATATTTGTAATATTTGCAATAATTTCTTCCTTTTTGAGAAGAAACGATATTGTATAATCCATAATAATTAACCCAATAATTACCAAACAAATTGATAGAATGATACAAGTAAATGAAATGGATACTATATAGGTATACTCTGTGCCAGTAATTACTTTCGTTCTCACTAAAATACACCACAAAGTCCAATACATTATGTTTACAATGAAACTGGAACCTAAAATCAATAACATTGATTTTGTGGAGAGGAAATGTTTCACAATCAAGAGCAATTTCTCACCTTCCTTACTATTTGACTTGGAGAAGACGGCCAATTTGTGATAGAAATATTTCAATAACTCAAATCTTGAAATTTGATACAAATATGAAATAAAAGCCATTATCGTGATTGAATTTACAATAATTGTAATGATATTTGACAAGATATTGACTGCTAAATCACCATATTCCCATGAAACTGTACTCGATTGTGAGCTATTTACTTCAACTTGTCCTGAAAGCAAAACACTCTTCTGAACAATCAATAACAATGCAGTTTGAATTAAAAGTGCAGTAATTCCAATAAATGGAGTGACGAATCGACTCTTCACTGGTTGATAATTTCTGAAAACAATCAACAAGGTCAATAAAACACAGGAAATGATGAAGAAAATACTTCCATATACGATTTGAGTGACATAGACACTTTCCAACTCTTTTGCCTGTGCTGAGCTTGATCTTGTTGTGTTATATTCAACAAATGCAGAGAATAAGGTGGTGTGGTTGCATTGACATTGTACAATAGTTGAGCTTTCTGAAACAAGTTCACATCCATTGGATTCCCATGATTCTGTTGTTTCATTCCAATATTTACATGAAATGGAATAGTTTAAACTTGTATTCAAAGTAGCTGTAATTGACAATGAGAGGGTGAATGGTTTAGTCAAGTCTTTGATTTCTAATTGAGATCCTTCTTTGAAAATTGAAAATTCTGCAAATGATGAAAGGGAATTTGCCATTGAATAATTGTCTGGTCTGATATTTTTGGAATATTTGATTAAAGACATGCCTAATTGTTTCGAATAACCATTATAAGTATTCAACACGTTATCAACATCAACCTTAACATCTTGTAAATCAAAACTTCCAGAAAGAGTTTTTTCACTTTTGATAAAGTTTGATGTAACAATTTCCACATTATTAGAACGGAATAGCCTGTTAGAAATGGAATTCTTATTCGAATCAGAAAGGATAACTGGTGGCTCACCAATAATTGCCATTATTGAAACATGATTATAAATAGTGGACACATTGTAGTTTCCAGTGTTGAATAGATTAGTAGCTGTCGTAAGAATGTTTGATAAATCAGTTGAGGAAACAACTTTTTCCTTGACAAAACCAAATGAATTGTACTGATTCTTATACGAATCTGTTAAATTGGCACAGAATGACTCAAATTTGAGCGCAACTTCTAAACTTGCCTCCAAATTTGATTGAGCAATCTTTTTAAGTGTGTCAATTGTAGAAGATGGATTTTGAAGTGGAATTTCCAAAGACTTGACAATTTCTATTGCAAGAGAACTATCTGAAACTGTTTCAGTAAATACAGAATCGTAAGGAGCAATCATAGCAAGGATGGAATCTGATTTTAATCTTTCCAATAAATAGAGCTTGGAATCAGGATAGGGATACATTGAAATATCTCCATTTACAACTTGATGGTATTCGAAACCTTGGGAGTCCTTCATGAACACAAGCATTGTAATGTTAGTAGTAAAGTAAGGAAGATAAATAGAATCAATAAGCCCAACATTATCATAATATTGAGTGACTCTAACGTTGGTCTTTTCTTTGTATTGGAAACCAAGTGCATAATTGAATGGATACATCTTCGAATTGGCTGCTATCCAAGGATAAACACTAAATCTAACAAGAGTTTTGAGCGAGTAAACTAAAGATGAATTTGTGCCAATAATTGAGAAAGTATTTCCACTTGGTAAAGGACCTGAATAAATTGGAATTGTCTCCTCTAAGCTAAATGAATTATTATTTCCCCTAAAACTTGAGCTAGTAAGTACAAACTTGAAAGTTAAAGAATCATCATAAGTAGAAAATGATCCAGAAAATGATATTATTGGGTTAAATTTGATGGTATTGTTTCCATCAAACTCAACAGTGGTGATCCCACTACTTTCTAATAATGTAGAATTTCCACTCAACTTCAAGCTGTAACTAACTGTGAATGAACAATTTGTTTGGCAATCTATCACCTTGGAACTATTGAAAATATTCTCAGCTCCCAAAACAAGACTATTCAAACTATGGTCCTTGTTCTTGATGAAATAAGAAGGGAACCCATATTTGGTAATACCTGGTTCTTGGATAGTGACTGTGAAATATAGAGTATTAGAAACTCTTGCTGGATATTGAGAGTGAGTTTTGAAACCTTGAACCGAAAACAAATAAGCTGTTCTCACCTTCATCAAATCTTTGAAATATGTCAAGTTGAATAATGGTTGACTTGAAGAGCTAGGACAATCAATGCAAACCCAATTCACAGTAAAAGTTTGGAATTCAGAGGTGATTAAGGATTGATTATTCATATCAAAGGCATCAAGCTGTAAAATCAGATTATCGCCCTTCTCCACTTGAAAACTATTTGAGGGTAATGAGATTAGAATAGGATTAGTGTTGATAGAACAGTTGTTGCCATAGAAACCGCTGTTACAAGTACAGTTATCAGGTAGATTACATTGCCCATTGCCTGAGCAAACACTTGTCGAATTAAAGAGAACTCCATTACAGAAATAGTCTTGACAAGCTTTGCCGTAGAACCCTGTCTTACAATTACACGAATCTGGGCCAGAACAATTTCCATTTCCAGAACAGACATTGGTACCATTACTATTAATACCAAAGCACTTGTAATATTGACAATTATTTCCATAATATCCCTCGGAACATGTGCAATTGTTTAAGGAAGAACAGTTTCCTCTTGCTAAGCATACTTGAGAATTATTATACGAAAGTCCAGAACAAGTATGAATACTACAATCATAGCCAAGAAAACCTTGCGAGCATGTGCAATTGTTTGGAGAAGAACAATTACCATTGCCTGAACAAACCATTGAATCATTCTTCAACTTGCCAAAACAATTAACAAAACTTTCACATTCATTTCCATACCATCCATCATTACAAACACAATTATTATACGAAACACATTTACCATGATAGCTACAAGCATCAGTGGCATTCTTCTTGTAACAAATTGGTTGATCACAATTGTTTCCATTGTACATTACTGGACCAGTTTTACCAGCAGGGAAAATATCCTGTCTCCAACAAACTAATCCATAAGAATCATAAATAATCAAATTCTTATCCGTGGTCATGATAAATCTGAAAGGCCCAACACCACCACTACATGATGACAAAATGGTTGAGTAGACATTTGTTGGATTATGAAGAGTAAACGCTCCAGTATTATTATTCAATCTCATATTGTAAGAACCAGATCCCTGCCACGTGTTAGATGCCCAATCAGCAGCACCATTCAATTGGTAGGTTACCAAGTTACCATCAGTTTGAAGAACAACAAATTCATCGCTCTGTGGATTGTATATTGCCACACCATTTTGAATAGTTCCATTGATGGACGAGTGCATATAGTTTCCAGACGAAAGATCGAGACATTCACAAGAATTTTGACCTTTACAGATACCATTACCTCCACAAACTTGTAAATCGGTTGGGTGTTTGCCAAAACATGTAAACGCTGTTGAGTAATCTACTCCAAGATGGAGCACAATTAATAACAACACAACAAGGTAAAATTTCATATTTTTTTTTGATACTGACAACCTGTCAAACAGAGCCAACTGTATGAGAGGTTACGCCATTGTATTATTATTCATTTGTATTAAATGACCTTTTTTGAGTTTAACTTACTTAAAAATCAATTTACACCAAGTGTCATTCAATATGTAATTGGTTGAATACTTGTTTTAAATATCAAACAAAGCTGTTTGGATGAAGCATTTGTAATGTGGAAAGGAAGAAAATCATTATAACATAGAAACGAATTAATCATCATACATATCAGAATATCTGTATCCAATTTCACTGTTTCCTTTCCATAGAGTGCAACACTGATTCCACAAATTAGTACAATCAAGTACAGGGAATAATCTATGTTGATAACAGCAAACATATTGGAATGCAGTACCTATCCAGTTAGGAAGGCCTATTCTTTTAGTCTCATGCATGATATCTGATTCAGGGTTAGATCTGTAACAGCAACAACTAGTGGCACACCAACATGCAAGAATACCACATCCATTACAACAACCACAAGCCCTACTAAAGCAACAATGTTTTGTATAGTTCTTATCTAAAAATCCACACCTAGTAATCTGCTGCATTTTGTAATCCATTTCTTCTTTTAAATTTTCGATAAGGATTGTTGGAAAAGTTGGAAATATGATTTTGTGATGAGAGACCTTAGCTGATTCTCTCTTAAAGTATATACTCTCAAAGTTGATAGATATTGAGTTGTCAATTTGAGAGGAAGCAAATATGTTATTCTTAATTTCAATTCCATGTTTGTTAAAGAGAGCTTGTCTGATAGAATCAGATAAATTTAGTTTTGAGTAGTATATATGTTTGTAGAATTGTTTTAAAAATTCCAATCGTTGCTTATCATTCATTGTTTCAACAGATGCCAACGTTAGAAATTGAGGAAGAATAGTTCCATTAACCTTAGTATCTGTGAGAAGTTGCGTATTGGGAGGGAATTTCACTCTACCACTAATTAATCTATCTCTGTAATTTTTGATAATGTTTTCTCTGACAATCATAAAATTTCTTTGCTCAGCTGGCGTTAATGATTTAATATGTCTGAGATTTTCCTTTTCAAATATTTCTTTCAAATCTATCATAGAAGATTCCATTCGTGGTATGATTTTGTACCTAAATAACAAGTACAAGAGTATTTTACATATATATAAAGATTGACCACTTTCAAAGTTGGTTTCCATACTAAATATTTTTCGGTAGTCATGTGTGATGGATCCATGCTTGAATTCAATTTCATCTCTCTTAATATTCCTCATATATCTTGGGCGAAACACCTTATTCGAAATAAACAGAGAACTTTCTCTGCACAAGCGAGAGTGGAAGCCAATTGGGTATGCAGTCGCAAAGTGAATGTGTAAAATCATTCTTCCATATAATCTAAATGGATTCACTCTCTTATTCACAAGAAAATGTTTACTACACCAATGAGTGTATAAATCATGGAGTGTGACATGTTTCTTCAGAATATCTTGTTCATTCTCGTTATTTCCAAATAGATGATATAATTTACATTGTTTTCCATTTTTTGGAACGTTTGATTTAGAAAGAATATCGCTCACATTTACTGCCTTAGTTTTATCTACAATATCCTCCAACGTGTCCAATAATAGAGAGCTGTTAGCCCCTGACAATTCAACTTCAACCTCAAACTCACTATCAGATAATTGATTCATACTCTTTCCAAATATCTTTCTCATTGCCTTCATAAATGGAGGCAAAATCTCTTCAGGTTTCACATCCATGTCCACCATACTATTCACTCTCAATCGGTTCGGAATGAATATCTGAAAGTACAATCGAGGTAAATAAACATTTCCAATTCGTTTCAATAAATTTTCATTTCTAATAGTTTCCTTCCCTGATGTGTTAATATTATTTAATCCAACGTCAGAATTCTCTAATTTCCCATCCATCTCCTGATCATGCTGATAACAGTAACAACAACCATCAAATAAATTATAATAATATTTGCACGTATATTTCAAGGCTTGCAATTCGTAGGCACCTCTATTCGGACAGTAGGAAAGAATTGTCTCGATGGAATCATGATCCAAATTAATTAATTGTGATTCAGCCGTGATAGGATCGGTTGCAATATTTGTACCCTCTTCTCCAATGATTATTGGATGATGTTGGGCCAACATTTTGGTCGGCAATCAATGAGCTAATTTTTTACATGATATTTTAATTTCGCATCCAGAACAATGCAACAAATTTGATAGCAAAACTGAAGGAAGTGTTAGGTGCATGTGTAAACGTCGAAATGTTTAGTGAATGGAGAACATAGTACCAATTTCACCCTTGCATCTTTTGAGAAAGTACCTTAATCTTAGTGTTTAATTAGCTCAGTAGGGAGAGCACGGGACTACGGCCCATTAAAAGTTGATATCCCGGGGCCATAGGTTCGATTCCTATATTAAACGTTTTAGAGACAGTATCATTAATGAATACTTTGAGTTTTCTGAAATTTTTAAATCCAATGTGCTTTAATCCAGTTTACCGATTCTACAGAATAATAATAATTTCTCGTACTACATGAATGTAATAGAAATATCTGCAATGTTCGAAATATTATGATTCCAATTGAAAAAGTTCAACTCACACAATAGATCTATTTATTAAAAGCTATTTGGCTTACTGAAAGTAACCAATCCTCCAAATCTTCTAAGCTTTTTTCAAACAGCTTCAAATTATTCTCGAAGGATTCTTCAAGAATCAAGAATAAAACAACGCGACGAATAGAAAAAAATGACTCAAAAGAAAACTACACAACAACCAGCAGCAAAGAAAGGAGGAAAAAAGGGTGGAGATGATGATATGGCCTTCCTGATGGAAATGCAAAAGCAAAACGAAAAGGTTATCGAAAAACAAAAGAAAGCCGAAGAAAAGAAGAAGAATGCTACACCAGCAGCATCAGATTCTACTCCGCAAGCTAACGTTAAGAAGACTTATCCAAGCGAACAAACAAAACCAGAACCAACAGTGCCAATTAAATACTTGTTCAAAGACAACAAATATCCACAAGGTGAAATTATGGAATATGCTCAAGATTTTAACAAATTTAGAACATCATCAAAGGAACATCAACAAAAGGACGAAATGTTTGACCACGTCGTTCAAGAAGCTAGACAAGCTGCTGAAGTACACAGAACTGCTAGACAATGGTTCCAAGGATATGTTAAACCAGGTATGAGAGTTATTGATGCTGCTGAAGCATTGGAAAATAAGGCCAGAGAATTAATTGAAGCTAACGGTATTAATGCTGGTATTGCTTTCCCATTGGGTTGTTCAATGAATAATTGTGCTGCTCACTATACTCCAAATGGTGGAGATGAAACAATTATTACTGCTAATGATATTATCAAATTCGATCTCGGATTACATATTAATGGACGTATTATTGATTGTGCTTGGACTATGTATTGGGATGATAAATTCAAGCCATTGGCTATGGCTGCAAAGGAAGCTACAAACATGGGTATTAAAACTGCTGGTATTGATGTCAGAATGAGTGATATTGGTGCTTCTATTCAAGAAGTTATGGAATCCTATGAAGTGGAATTAAACGGAAAGACTTACCCAGTTAAATGTGTTGCCAACTTGAATGGTCACTCAATTGAAAGATATAAGATCCATGCTGGTAAGACTGTACCAATTGTAAAGAATAATGATAACACAAAGATGGAAGAAAATGAATTTTATGCTATTGAAACTTTCGGTTCAACTGGTAGAGGTCATGTTGATCATGAAGGTGTCTGTTCACACTACATGAGAGATTTTGATAAAAAGATTCCATCAGGAGATTTAAAGACACAAAAAGCTCGTGACTTACTCAAGACTATTGAAACTAACTTTAGTACACTTGCTTTCTGTAGAAGATATTTGGATAGACTCGGAGAAGATAAATACATGGTAGCTCTCAAGAGTTTAGTCAATGCAGGTGTTGTCAATGAATATCCACCATTGTGTGACGTTAAGGGATCTTACACTTCTCAATATGAACACACCATTGTTCTCAGACCAACATGCAAAGAAGTCATCAGTAGAGGAACTGATTATTAATTCATTCACCTAATATCATAAACTATTTTATTTATTTTACTATTTTCATCATTTAGTAGAATATATATTAATGAACTTGAATTAATATTCAAAGCCAATATCTAAGTAATCAATTCAATCAAAACTGAACACGTTTTCTTCAATCAATTAATATTCTATTTCAAGAACCAATTAATTTCTTACTTCTAAATATTAAAAAAATGCAACAACAGCTTGATCAGCTCATCAACACTTGCACACCAAAGGATTTAACTTGGAAGAGCCCTGCTCTGTTCTTATCTCTTTTTTTATTCTCCAAATACTATCCATCATCAACAAAACAACATCCCTACACTACTCAAGATGTTGTAAAAGTTCCATTCCAAAATACTACAGTTTCCTATCAGAAGTTTATTACCACTTCCGAGGATGTCAGAATTATCAGATTTAAAGTTGATTCGGAACTTTCTTTAACTGATGATCAAATATTCCAAGTATTATCATTGGAAATTCATCCATCGGAGAGATCTTTATACACGCTTAGTAAGCAATGGGGAAGAACTATTGTTGTTCAGAGGGAAATTCATCTTTCTAAACCAGTTTCTCCTTTAAAGAGATGTTTGAAAGTGGCAAGATTCGTTTTAGGAACTTTGGGTGTGCTCTATTCAGGTGTTTATGCTAAACAATTGATTGATTCAAGAAGAAACAATTAAATTGCAATTTTAATCGACATAAATCTCAATAAATTATAATCAATTTGTTAATAAATATTTGAATTCAATCTATTTGATATTAAATATTTAAATAATTCAACAAATGATTGAAAAATCAAAATTTAAAAAAATGCTTTCACGTATTGGAAGAATTTCGCTCGGGGGAGCCTTTTCATCATGGAAGGTTAATAATTATCAACATCATGGAAAGATTTTGCGAAAGAATTTAATGATGAATAATTCTTCAATAATATTAAATAAGAAACAATTTTCTACATGTTTAATTCCGAGAGTTAATGATTTGTCTAAATTTGAAACAGATATTCACAACTTCTTTTTAAAGAGGAATCAAATTATGGAGAATGAAAACTTGAAGCAACATTATGAAAGTGTTGTCTTGTCATTATTGGATTGTCCAACAGATATTAAATATAACAAATCTACATATTTTGTAGCTGGGTTTATTATGGAATGCATTCAAATTTTGAATTTGGAAAAGGATCGTCAATATTTGCTATTGAAAGCTATTGATATTTTGAATGCTGGAAAATATACTACTGAAATGGAAATTAGTCAAAAGAATGCTCTCCTAGTGCAAATTGCTACCACATTACATGATGTAGATATGATGAAGAAGGCATTTGATAATTATTTCAAATTTATCAAGACACAATTAGTTGAATATAAAAAGACAAAGAAACCAATTCAAATAGCTTTGGATGATTTGGCTGTTGGTTTCAGTTGTGCTCCTCATGTTGGAGCCTATGCTGAGATGGCTTTATTGGGAGATTTAATTGTTGATGTGTTTAATGCACCACATGTTTTGGAATTTTTCAATGATCAAGCTAATTCTGAACAACAAACTGATTATTCTGCAATTTACAAATTATTGAAAGCTTATCCAGTACCTAACGAACCAATTCAATCATTTGATATTTGTAAATTTAAACCAACTAGTTGTGTCTTCAAAATGCAATCCATGGTCTGTTCAATCAATTCCGATAAGGAAGAATCAATACCGAATGATTTTGATCCAATTCCATTAGATTCAGACCAATTATTGGAAATTCACCAATGGTAAGTTTTATTAAGGACATTTGAACCAACTCTCTACTTAGGGGTAACGTTGTTTTATGGTTCCATCACATTGTCTTGTCAGGTATCATTGGAGACAATAAGATTTTCCTCTATGGTTATGCAGATATTGAAGGAATGGATGAAAAGAATAATGGATCTCCAACTACCAACAGTCTTCTCTCTCAAATCAGTCAAGCCATAACTGATGAAGAAATGAAAACTAAAATTACCAAACTGTTGGAAGAAGGCAAAGAAACAGATGCTGAAACAGTTGAAAATTGCACACTCGAATCTCAATTCCAACTCGAATCAATAGATGATGATACTAATTCAGATACTGACATTACCCATTGGAAAGGCATTCACAAAAAGACCATCACTGAAAAACGTACCAGTGGAGATGTTATTAGAATTATAACAACATATAGTGTTGATTTATCAATGGTTGAATTGAAATAAATTCATTCCTCTACAACATCTTAATATCCATCTAATAGTATCCTCAATCAACTTAATAGATAACATTATCCAATTAATGAATGATAGCAGTCAAACATCAACAATTAATATCCATGCTCTTCATTTGGCAACAAAGACTTTTCATCTAAAAGCAAAGAGACAACAAAAAGTCGTCAATCGCATTTTAGCTTCACTGCAGACATCAAGTCGTCATCAGTTACATTTTCTCAACTGTCACTGAAAACATTTCACTCACATCAATAATCAAAAATCACAAACAAAAAAAAATACATCAACAACACACAAATGCCAAAACTCACACAAGAACAATTATCTGATGCTGAAGATGCCTTCAGATTATTCGACAAGGATAGTGACGGAAAGATCCCAATTGAGGAATTAGGTAAATTGATTAGAGTTTGTGGTAAAAATCCATCCAACAAGGATGTTGAAAAATGTTCTCAAGAAATTGATCCATCCAAGTTGGGATATTTCACATTCTCCCAATTGACTTCAATCTTGGAATCTAAAACATTTGTTGCTGACAATGAACAAAGAGTTAGAGAATGTTTCAAAATTTTCGATAGAGATGGAACTGGTTATGCTCCATTGACTGAAATTCGTTATGCTTTGGTCAATTTGGGAACTGGTTCTGATAACTTATCAAGTGAACAAGCTGATGAAATTTTCAAGAGTGCTGAAACTGATGATTCTGGTAATCTTAATTATTCAATGTTTGTTAACTTTTTAATGCCATCTAAATTTTAAACAATATTGAGACTTGTATAAAACAAGTGCAATAAAAAACAACAATATGAATTTGTACAATAGTTTTTTGATTATTTGTATTTGTATTTATGTTTATGTGTTTGTGTAGTGTGTTTTGTGAAAATATATATTAGCAAGACGGTGGAAAATAGAATATTAAATATTTATGAAATGATGATAATATTGATGAATTATTGTAGTGGAAAGCCACTGATCGGAATTGTCCTGTACAGATAAATAATATGTATTCTGGTTATTTCGCACAGCTATTTATTGGGAAGAAATTGTACTCTCATTGTCATGACCTCTAGGATGACAGAATAGAAAACAAAAAGATGTGTAAAAATGAAAGAATTCAGTATTTTGTTACCTCTAAAAACATTAACGCTCTGATCATTACAATGAAGGAAAGCAATGACCTCTATTCGAAAGAAGGTGGCCAACTACCTTCCTAAACAATGAACAAATTTTACAAAGTTTAAAATTTCCCAATATCATAAATCACTAGGTGAAACTACTTACTTGAGTTCAAACATTCAAGCTTCTTACAGTTGAATAAGTAGTTGGTAGATCAGATTTGAACATCTTTTCAAAGATTTTTAGGCGCATTGCTGATGGCATTTGTCTATCAATGTTTTAACAAAATTAAAAGCTTCACCGTACAATTCATCAACCCAATTAGTTCAACTCTTTGGCAAGTTTCTTAAATTCTATGAATGCAATCAACACCTTTCAAATAACATAGACAGAATTGCCCATTCTATTAATACAACGAATTACACAATCACGATTAAACCATAAGCATGCAAACGCTTCTATTTTAGATTTGTGAAATCACGTTTCGTCTCTTTCTCATTCCCTTTTAAACTAATTAGAAACCTTGATTACAAGTCAAATATTAAAAAAAAATGGGACAGTTTTCATCCAGTATTGCACCTCCACCAAGCAGAATATGTAGCACACCATCGGTAATTGACATTAAAAAACTTCTCCAAAAACCTCTCCACAAATTAACAAATCTCGAACTAGTTGTTTTGTGTAAACATTACAAATTCGAAAGTGAGAAAGTAAAACAAGCTCTGGAGAAGAATGCCAAATTTAATGGAGCAGATTATGATAAACTTTGTAAAATGAAAACAAAGGAAGAGATTGAAGTGGAGAAGGAAAGATTGATCGATGTTGTGAATAAGTATGTAAATGATGAAGGAGAATCCAAGTTCTTTGTTTATCAAGTTGTGATTGCAAAGTTTGAGGATGAGAGAAAGTTATTCTTCATGAAAGAAGACAAAAGTGTTTCATCAAATAGCGAATCTGAAAGTGAAGTGGATTCCAATAATCCAACCACTACAAGTACTTTCCTAAAGTTATGTAATAATAGTACTAGGCCATATGTTAACTCTGAATCTTCTGGTGTAGAGAATGAAAATCAAGAATATGATGTTCAAATTCCAATAGAAAGCTGGAGATTATCACAAGCCGAATTTAAAGGAGTTGAGCTAGCCAAGAAAAAGATTAGAGCATACCTTAAAGAATTCAACACTACACCAGAGAAGCTTGGATATAGTGAAAGTTTAGATTTGGAAGCTCAAAGATATGTCTGTGAAGACAGATTCATGCATTTTCACTTTGTTCGTCCTACAATGAAGAAAAATTCAAGAATTGTTTCCAATATTCCAGCAGTTGTGAGCGTCAAGTTGTTGGTTTCATCTTTAAGAAAACACGAATTAACCAAGAAGGCAATGGCTACATTCGCAGACATTCTTAATGTAAATAATTATGGAGTTGTTCACACAGGAATCTTAATTGGAGAATGGAAAATTGAATGGTATGATAATTCATTGGTGAGAGTTGAGTGCGATTCTGACCAGAAACTTGATGCTAATAATACCATTGCAGCCATTGATATTGGAGAAATTGCTGGAGCTGACAATGTCAAGAAGGCATTCGAATTGATTACAAAAATTTCATGCAATTACAATGCAACCAAGAATTATTCATTATTAGGGGCTAATTGCCAACATTTCGTTTCAGATTTATTAGAGGCATTGAATTTGACACTTCCAGTGAGTGAATCTTTCAAAATTTATTTTGACAAATTGAAAAGAGGAGAAACTGACAGAACTTTCTTTGTGAATGAAAATTTGGCAACATTATTTAAAACATGCAACATTACAAACCCTTATATTGGTTTGAAGAACATTACATTCGAGAATAGAAAATCGTTGGATGAATTTTGTCATTTTCTTGAACATATCAAATATTTTGACATTGAGGCAGGTCAAAGTGATTTTTGGCTTTTGAAGGCATTTGATAGGTCATTTGTTTTGGTTGGGGAGGATGAAATTTGTCTTACTTTTGATTCTACAGGAGTCAAAGAGAATGGATTCTTCACAACTAATGGAGGAAGAGATCAAGATTCCATCACTCATATTAAGTACAGTGTTAAAGATGTTGATTTCAGTGATTGTGTATTAAAGAGGTAATAAATGATTGTTAGTGCCACTCTTTCAACAATTGCTCAATTACTTTGGTGATAAAAGAATAATTGAGCAATTGTTGTTAAGAATTTGTTATAGATAATAATATTTATAATTCAGATATTAAGGTGAATGAATGGCTACGGCCATATCACGATGAATGCACCTCATCCCAACGATTTGAGAAGTTAAGCATCGTCGAGCCACATCAGTACTGAGGTTGGAGACAACTTGGGAACCTGTGGTGCTGTAGTCTTTTTATTCCATTTTCCTTGACCGTGGTTTCATTAGAATGCTCAAAAGGTCCGATCACGTTTAACGTGAAAAAGACAGCAGATGATCAAAATACATGATACAATCTAAAAAAATGGGCAACACGTCAAGTATTATTAGATTCTCTGAAGAAATCAGTCCACCCAGTGATGAGATTGAAGAGGCAGAGGCAAAACCTCTTCGAGAATGTAGCAATAGGGACTTGTTTTGTTTATGTATTCATTACAATTTCAAGAACGATACTGTCATAAATGCTGTAACAATGAACAATGATTTTTATGGAAAGTTATTCGAAAGGTTGGTA